AGGATCATGACCTCAGCCCAGGAGAAGCAGCCGATCCTGCTCCTCAAGACCAAGTCAACCCCCACTGACGCCTACGAGGAGCTCTTCGCGACCCCGCGGGACGGCTTCGCGTTCGAGCCCATCTTCGTACCCGTGCTGCAACACCAATTCGAGGAAGATGGCATGCAAACTGTCAGGAGTCTGTTGCAGGAGAGGAGGATTAGCGGTAGTCACGATGCCACTTATGGTGGGCTGATCTTCACATCCCAGAGAGCCGTGGAGGCTTTCGCCAAATTGGTCGAGGAGGGGCAAGGTACAGACAGTACAGCGCTTTCGTGGTATACATCTCTCCCATTGCAACCGAGCTGACTGGAGCGGGAGATAGACAACGACAGATGGCCACACTTACAAGAGATACCGCTCTACAGCGTCGGGCCCGCCACGACCCGCGCCCTGAAGGCCATACCGCAGACCCCTCACCTCCAGATCTTCGGCGGGCACACGGGGAACGGCGATGCGCTGGCACGGTACATCCTCGAGCATTATGGCGAGTGGTATGCGGACCGGCCAACGAAACCGCCGTTACTGTTCTTAGTTGGCGAGCAGAGACGGGACATCATACCTAAAACACTCATGAACCCCCAATTACCACCGGAGAGAAGGATACAGGTCACCGAGGTGGTGGTTTACGGCACGGGCGTTATGGAGTCCTTTGCCAAGGATTTCGAAGACGTGTTACAGGAGACAAGAGAGAGCAGCAAGATGCGGTGGGTTGTTGTCTTCAGTCCGACGGGGTGTGATAGTATGTTGAGAGGTCTGGGCCTACTGGACGAAGGGACGGGGAAGGTGGGAAGGATATCTGAAGATAGGAGGACGTTCATCGCGACTATTGGGCCTACCACGAAGAATTATCTAAGACGAACGTTCGACTATGCACCGGATGTTTGTTCGGAGAAACCGAGCCCGGAGGGGGTTTGGGAGGGCATCACTGGGTTTATGGAGACCAACATATAATCTGGGTTGAATTATCTACGCTTCAAGGTAGTGGCGGCTGCTATATTCTCCAGCTTGTCCGTTGACAGTTTGGATATGATAGAGCAGAACGCCTAGGGTAGGTACGGTTGATGGCTTCTCTCGGCTCTCCGCGACGATCTCGAAAGCCCGCTCTGCGAGGGATGCTGGGAGGTTTGCCTGATCCATTGTACACTTGCCAGGCTCCCGAAATCCGAGAACCGCAGAAGTCGACACAATGGGAAAAGAATAGAGGCTGCTTGATGTAGTTCTGGCCTTTAGACGTCATCTTGAACTCATATAGACAATGCTACGAGAGACGCGGAGACACTGTGGCGTTTACAGATTCGGTCACATGAACTGAGCTTGAAATTATCGACGTATTTTCACTGACAATTCGAACAGATAGAGATTTGGGCTCTTGGAGGTCACCGCGGGAGCCTCCGGTAGCCAACGGCCACCCAAGCAGCCTCTTCTCCCCCCTGATATGTGGCATTCATTTACTTACCACTACTGCACTGCGCTCTGATTCAGTAGTATCCTACGTTTCACTCAAGAACCAACGCGTCAGCATCTTGAAGTAAAGTTCTGATGCGCCGAAACTAGGCTGTGGGGTCGCTTTGCCGCAGTATAGAGACATACTGTAACGATCAGCGATCATGGAATGCCCCTACTATGTAGAGTAAATACTCCTTTTCATTCAGTGAGAAACCGAACCCCGACGTGCAGAAATCACGACCCAGTTCTCAGGATGAAGGCTGGTGGGCAGGGCATCTACTATGACGACGATGAGCATTGACTCATACTTCCTAAAGTAGGTATGGCTTCTCTATCTTTCAACCGTGGCAATCTGGCCTAGCCATCTGGTTATTGTGAATGGTCATCAAGGCACATGTAATGCAAATCGCGGTGGAGTCGGAGTTCATGACCCTTGACAAAAACAGGAGAAATCTCGGACTTATGCCTCGGAGCCAGCGTTTCTTTTGACATCGGTTATAAATTGTAGAATCATGCTTTATGTTCGTCATTCTGTGTATCAGCTTTGGGATACAGTCTATTCAATCCAGTGAATCTGCTAGACGATCTTTCTGGATTGAGGGGGGCCCTCTCGGTTTTCGGACCGACTGGGAACCCTCTGTGGTTGTCTCACAAGTATATCTGCAATATTGACTGTAATCTATAACACTTCGCAACATCGAGGTACAGTACTGAAGTGATGCCCTATGACGATTGTGTGATGCCATATGTCTAACTAAAATCTGGTTGGAGTCAGCCTGGATTCTCGCCAGAACCAGTAAGCCTTCGTTCCTGCAGCCTGTCATGCTCCACGATTTCAGTCATGTTTGCATGTTAAGATGAGAGATCCCAGGATGTTGATTAGTGCCGGTCCATTGCATATCGAGTCGCACACAAGACGTGACAGACTTGATCCCGAAAGACACTGCTCACTGTCCCGCATGTCTGATGATGCGAACAGACAAAAGCAAATCCCACATAATTTCCCGGCGGTACCACAGTAAGCCCCCGGATGCATCCTGGTCCTTAAGAGAATACGGTTGAAAATATCGAAGACAGCAACGGGTAACGGGATTGGGTTCCGCCCCCCGGGGATCTGAAAGACTTGATGCCGCATGAATCCCATATGCTGCAGCCCTTATGACTATCATTAACAAAAGGTGGATTGCTGCTAGAATCGGGAAATGAAACACTATACCTTTCAGCTCATAAAGATAGTCGCCGCATTGGAGATACGCTGGAGCCGATGAAGGTAGTTGACGGAGGAACTCCCTGAGATCAAATCGAGGCAACCTTTCGCGTATCGAGCATTCCCTGTATGCAGCCACTTGGCTGCATCGTGTTCGGGCTCGGCCGCATCATGCACCATGGCACAGCACATTCAAGATGCAGTCAAGAGACAGCAGATACGCCACACGTGCCCGCGCGGCAGACAGGCCATGGTGCAAGGCCAGAGCAAGGGGTTCATCAAGCTGCAGGCGGGATAGCCGGAACATAACAGGCTGGTTTGGCCCATGACTTGAGCTTTGGACTCCCATGATCCTGTAGTGGCATCATCAGTATGGAATCCAAGTGACTTGGCTGACAAACCTCGGCGTATGGTGATTGGCGAAGTGGAAGTGAAGGCAGCCGTTGCTATATGTGACGCTAGGTGGTAACTGATCGAACGCCTACTGTGGTACATACGAGGTTGTCAGTGCCCTCTGCCGCCCCGGGAGCTACCGTGCAATGTAACAGGCTAGGTCATGTGCAACTTTCAGGTCAGAAGTATGGTTGGTTCCTAGGGACCAATTTGCAGGCGCCCCTTTATTGCACCGGTGTAGGTATCTGTCACAAAAAGTTGAGAAGGGTTGCCCCAGCTCATAATCCTGTCTGACTTCCCTCTTCTCACGCCACATTGCCGCTGTGCCGATCTCGAACGCTGGCAGATTTGGAGCCATCAGCCCTTTTTCAACGGGCAATCTAGCGATGCGCCTGAAACGCTTTCATGGTGGTGGCTTTGCCCTTGCTTGGATTGGTCAGCTTCAGCTTCCTACCACAGTAGGGCAGACCAGATCATTGATGCTCCGATGCTTGCTTGCGGACCTGGCTTATTGTGAGGAGTGGGGGTCAATGGCGGTGCCTTATCACGTCAAAGTCGGGGTCTGAGCGTCGGCCAGACACCTGTCACCATTACGACTGCCTATCAAGTTGTCCTAGGTAGTATATCAAGGAGCTAATTACCTCAGTAGCTGCGGCAGCTAGTTGTCGAGCTTAGCCTGCACGACGAGAAGCCTGCCCCCTAGGGTAGTATTTGACATCCTCGAAGCTGAGCATAAGTCGGCTCATGCAGTACTGTGGTAAACAATACGATGACAAGGGTCCTCGGTGACCAATCCGCATTGTATTGTTATGCACGAACTTACCTAGCTTCTCTCCTGCCGCAGGATAAGTCGCTGTACACAGTACCATGTAAGATACCCAGGTAGCTAGAGAAGATCTACTGTGTATGATGTGGCCATCTGTGGGATAGGCGAGAAGTGACGAGATGCATGCACTTCTGTACCAGAACCGTGGAAATTCCGATTTCAGGATCTAGCAAAGTGTTGCTGCACCTGGAACCGATCGAGTGGGGGACTAGGTACACTAACCCTTCCTCTTATGTTGGCAGCGATATAGCTCCTGCACCCACCAGGAACATCGCTGGATTGATGGCGATCAAGCTGGAGAGGAGGATCTGACACTAAGAATAACAATGGCGAGACCCGCAATCCCGGGAGTGTCTGATCATTGTTGAGAAGTTCTGCGTCGAGCTACTGTGGTACACGATGGAACACGCACGTGGGTTTGATTCGAGCTCCATAGGCACGAGGATGGTCCCATCCAAGCGCTCCTGCTCTCTGAACACGGTCAGCTTCACGCTTCGGATGCTGCATGAAAAACCACATGTCCACGGCGAGAACCGGTGAAAGACTAGACATTCGTGTCATGACGGGAATTGTGCTTCTGGGTACGGGTTTGAATTAGTCCCAACGTCTCGCAACGACCTACCTAAGCCTGGGTCGAGACTTCGGTCGTCGGCACGGTATTGCATAACTCCATAGAAGGAAAATCTTTGGTAATTAAACTGAACGAGCCTTTGGTCCTCAAAAGATAAAGGCGATTGTGGGCTCGGTCAGCCAGGTGCAACTATGCTATGCTATACACACACACACTTGAGGGTAGTTCACCGGATGGAATGTTGACGCAACTTCCCAAGCGATATTTTGCACGCCTGCCGGCAACCCCTATGTCCATCAGCACAAACAATGCGGCTGCACCATTGGAACCGACCAAACCGGCATATAAAATCCCATTCCGAGTCTGCGCAACCTCCCAAAAGTTGCCATCATTCTCGTAACTCATGAACTACAACGGGCAAATTATCGGCCGTGGCCACGAGGAGCATTGAGATAGTGGCTCCATGATCTAGATATGTGTAAGCCAAACTGAAGCAACGAATCGGAAGCGGTTTGGGTCTCGTGGCGCAATGGTAGCGCGTCAGACTTCTAATCTGAAGGTTGCGGGTTCGAGCCCCGCCGGGACCTTTTTGCCGGGCCGCGCATCCGGATTGCAGCCGTACTATGTATAATCCAGGCGATGTAACCGTTCTTTGCTCCCATCCACCCAAGCCATTCATTCGTCTGGAACGCAGACTTCAACGGTCCATGTCTAAGTAGGTACTTTTCGACTGGCTACTTACTTACTGTCCAGTCTTGTTAACTACTAGGCTGGCTTGTTGCGACTATGTCAAATAGTCAGGGGCAGGACTTGGCAGGAGAGTCTGCTTAAATCAACCCAACCTGGCTCATGTCCGTCAAAATGATCGACGTCGAATACCTACCTAGGTAAGTTGTTAGAAAACACTCCCATAATTTCAGTTGGTTGTCGATCTCGCCTTACGATCTTCTTTGACAGTCCCGTGTTACGCCGCGTATCTAGCTTCGAGGAGACTAGCTGATCGTGTGCTTTTCATGACAACTCCTTGTACTATATCGGGTTGTTGGTAAAGGAAGACTTGCTTGTGTGGTTGCGTCGGTCCCGTTCCATTGAGTCATATACCGGTTTTGCAGCCGACGGAAAGAAGGCTACTTAGAAATAATAGTGATCTTGAATGTTGTTCTCGAAATAGCAACTGCATACCTACTACCTACCTACACAGTACTGTGCAATAACTCAATAGTCCAGAGTATCCCAGTCACCACGCGTCACTCGCTCTTCCCGGTATCGCACCCCGGCAAAGATGGGGGTTTCCGGTGGATGAAGCCTGGCGCACTAATGCGATCCCCTGTAGTCACGGTCAAAGCGTGCCAAACCTTCTCCACCACGCCTCCTGGACTTCCCACCTTTTGGTGCTGCTAACGGGATTTCCTCGTTAATGGCTGGTCGGCCGTCACGGCGACGTTACTAGTACCTATGGTAGAACCTTGTGTTTATTTCCTCGTCGAGGCTAAAATGTGAGACTTCAAGCACCGGACTCTCTACTGCCGTATCATCTTAACGGTACCTTTTACAATCCAAGTGACACGACGCCTACCTGCGCCGGGATGCGACATTGCTATCTCAGTACTGCCCCTGGCTCCTGAAGAAAGGATAGTGTGAGAGAGCTGCCGTTCGTCCCCTCTTTCTGCCTCAGCTCCTGGACTTTGACCAGGACTACCCCAGATTGAGGAATCCCTGACGCTCCTCTTGCCTGAACCGAGTCGGTCGTTTCTCAAACAGAGGCCGGGGCCAGTGACTTGTGGTCTCTATGCAACTGCCGATCTCTGTCTCAGCCAATTGCGCCCTATGACTGCCACGACTACTCGCTCGCCGTGTCGTAAGTCTTCCAGAGCATCAGCGCGCCACTCTCGTGTGAGATACTGTGTACACCGCTGCGATCCTTCAGGTCGTGAGCCGGGAGATCGTAAGGTATCTGAAAGCCACCGGCTGGGATGAGCCTGATGCACCTTGGACCCAAACAACGAACTTGTCCAGCAGTTTGTGGCAGATCGTTAGCTACGAGGCAACTCTACCCTCGGGTCCATGCGCGATTGCAATACCTCGGGGTTTGTGGGACGGACCAGACCAGGCCTTGGACGCCTCTTATACTACCCGAAGTCTGTTTCAACAGCAGCTTGGCCCTTCCACCGACTGCCGTGGTTTCAACCTTATGCAGGCGATTCTTGGGCGAACCAAACATTTCAGCACCACCTACCTGATCGTTGACTGAAGTTCATGTTACGATTGGTTCTACAACTACATACAGGGTCACCACCATTGTACCGGCAACTCCATTCTCTCCAAGTGCTAGGAGTCCTCAACGTAACCTGAGATAATCAGATTATCAAAGCGATAGTGCTTCGAACCGGACAGGATGGTGTATTGTGGGAAGCCCTCGAGGGGCTGTCAGATGTGCCGTACTCGTCGTATCAAGGTCGGTCTGCTCCTTCCTGGCAATCTAACCCGTCCTCGAGCTCACGATGTCGGCGTAGTGTGACGAGACAAAACCTACATGCAATCAATGTGCCAAATCTCGGAGACAGTGTCCTGGATACAAGGATGAATTTGACTTGGTCTTCCGAAATGAAACTCAAGCCACCGAAAGGAGAGCTCGTAAGGCCAACAAGAAGGCGCTGCAGAAAGCAGGGAAGCAAGACAGCAGTGAAGACGAATCAAGCGGGTCGATATCCCCTATCTCTCCCATCGACGACTTTAGGGATGCCTTCAGATCACCATTAGAGCAGGCCATCATGCCCTCAGTGAGTATCCCGGTCGAGACTCGTGCTGACTGCCATTTCGTTGCCAACTTCATCCTGATACCGCAACAAGGAAGCACAAGAGGTTTCCTCGACTTCCTGCTTCCCATGCTGAAGGTTGACGGTCCAAGTGGCCATTTGCAGCGTGCATTCAACGCCTGCGCACTGGCGCTTCTCAACAATTGCCCAGGTGCCAGGAACAACTACGCAGACAAGGCTTTAAACGAATACACCTATGCCCTGAAAGGCACCAACGTCGCGCTCAGAGATCCCGCAGTCCAGAATTCAGACTCGACACTAGCAGCAGTTCTCCTATTGGGTTTATTTGAGAACATCACTGCGAAGCAGTTGGGAATGCTGGCTTGGGGTTCGCATATCGAGGGTGCTATTCAACTAGTGAAGCAAAGAGGTAGAAAGCAGCTCAGGACGAGGGCGGGCCTCTTGTTATTCATAGCCGTCCGGACTCAGATGGTAGGCTCCCAAGAATCGCACGAATCGAGACTTTGCGGCTGACAGTGCCTAGATTATCCATACTCTAACATCGGGCAAGGCTCCAATCATGGGTGTCGAATGGTGGATCAACGATGCCATCAAGGACGAAACCGCAGGGCAATGCCAACGACTCATGATCAAGACAGGCGAATTGCGTGCCGAGGTGACGCGGCTTATGAACTGCATCGCCCGGACACCCCAAAACATTGAGATCATGCTGAACATGATCCGGAGAGCGCAGATGGTGGACCAGGAGGCTGTGAACTGGATGAACAACGTGCCCGAGGTTTGGAGGTATAGGACCGTTGCCTGGGAAGACAACGTCCCTAACGGCGACTATGCAAAAGCGGAGGTTTACCCGGGCCGTGTCGATCTGTATACCGACTATTATATCGCTAGCGTTTGGAACTTGTGCAGGACGTCGCGGTTGATCAATGCTTCGCTCATCGTCCGGTGCGCTGCGTGGGTTTGTTCGCCTGTCGACTACCGAACTACGCCGGAGTATGCCACGTCGGCTAGGACGTGTGTCGCGACCATCACCGATATCATCGCTTCAGCCCCGTATCACCTGGGCTGGCATCTGAAGAGACAGGAGATCCTGCGGAAGGCGAACCTAGGGCAGTTCGCCTGCGGAGAAGAGGACGCTCTGAAGGGATTGGCCGGATATTTCCTGACCTGGCCCTTGGCTTGCGTACATAGTCAGGACTACACGACAGACACTCAGCGTGCTTGGATAAACGGACGATTGAGGTATATTGCCGATGAGCTGGGCATCAAATATGCACACATCCTGTCCCAGGTAAGTCCCTTCCCCTGCTACCCGTCCGGCACATCCCATGTTGACAATGCGCAGATGCAAATCCGCATACCATCTATGATGATCCGCCGTGACGGACTCATGGCCTCCCCATACGGCACCGCCCAAAACTTTGAAAAGTTGCTATCCGCCAGGAAGGCTCCTCCATCCGCCGGGTATACGATGAACCCCCTCCAGCAACGCGAAGCTATGCAGAAGGAGTACTTCGAGCAGCGACGAGCAGACTTGCTTTCCAAGGCGTCTGGGAATTCTGGCGAGTCGGCACAATGGGTCGCTCAGAACTGGCTTACGGTACGCATTATGGATTTCCCTGATCCGATTCTTCAAATTCTCATTATCAGCGTCGTTTCATGGATTCTGCATTTTACTGTACTGACTCGAGCTGTAGCTACCTGAGAAAAGCCAATATCCAACCCAGGCCGTCACGGCAGGGCCTTGACCAATACCTTTTTTTCAGGGTTGGTTGAGAAATTGATGTTCAGAGTCTGTTTGTCGTGTATCTATACTCCGGACGGATGGCATTTGCGTTGATACCACAGCTCGAATCGCTTATTTTCTTATCCTAAACGGATTCCATTTTTGGCCCATGATTTTATGACTTCTCCCCCTTATATTTCGGAAAGGGCACGAGTTCGCGAGAGCAGGCCCGCGGCTTCATGATGGCGCTTCTAGGTGCATGCATTGGGGGTCGCATTGGGGAGCGTTATCACGACGATCCCTCAAACAAAAGGCGGGCGTATCAATCCTTCGATATCATGTCTCTACTGGCCGCTTTGACAGTACAGCTTCCTTGGTCTACATGATCTGGTTTATCTGTTTGGTTATCCATGGAATGATTGATACCTGCTGTGGCAGTGTTCCACTGTAAATCTAGAATCAATGAAGATTGTACCCCCCTCAAAGCAGTTGCTCTGTGACTCTTCCCGCCGATTGCTACATAGTCGTTGTGAATACATATGGTATAAAGGTTGAAATCGAAAAGCCTCAAATAGTCATAAGAGAATAGAAAACCGCCAGGAGCATCGACGGGCGATAGGACAGAACCTCATCAATGTACCAAAGCGTTGTCCAAAGAAAACATTCGATTCTCTTGGTAGAAATGTCAGAGCCGATTCTGAGTTTCGGCCAGGACCGTCGTCTTTATGAACGTATAAGTAGGCTAGTGGGTATCGTGAAATGCTCGTCCATCCATCCTGCCTTCGCCTGAACGACGAGTTGTCACCCATCCTTCCAGCTGTTTAGCCGAGTCGTTGACTGTGTATCCATCGTGCCCCCATTTGTAACGTGAAGTGTTCATCCATCCAGCCTCCTGACTAGTCACCTAGCTAACTCAGACTCCTGCCTCATATCGCAGATTGTTTATCATCCATTCGGTCTTGCGCCTGCCTCGACCAAGCCCTCTTTGTTCCCTTCCCTCATCACCTCTGCTTCCTCTTCGTTACTGCAGCGGGTATCTGGCTTCCCATGTTCCACGCCTTGACGACCCAGCTCTGCGTCGCAT